TCACAAAAAGAAAGTCATCTTCAACCTCAGCAAAATGGAGTGGATGAGGGATTTGAGGACATCCAACTCCAAATTGGGAAGCAAGTCGTCCAGGAATACCTGGCCGCTCTAAATGAGTTCAAGTCCCCTTTTAGGGCCAGATCAACTACACCCAAGAGTACTGAAGGAACTAGCGGAAGTCATTTCGGAACCATTGGCAATCATCTTTGAGAGTTCTTGGAGAACGGGAGAAGTTCCAGCAGATTGGAGGAGGGCCAATGTGGTCCCAATCTTCAAGAAGGGAAAAAAGGATGACCCAAACAACTACCGTCCGGTCAGCCTCACGTCGATACCGGTCAAGATTCTGGAAAAGATTGTTAAGGAAGCGGTCTGCAAACACTTAGAAACAAATGCAGTCATCGCTAATAGTCAACATGGATTTATCAAAAACAAGTCATGCCAGACTAATCTGATCTCTTTCTTCGATAGAGCTACAAGCTGGGTAGATGCGGGGAATGCCGTGGATGTGGCGTACCTGGATTTCAGGTAAGGCCTTCGACAAGGTCCCCCATGACCTTCTGGCAAGGAAACTAGTCCAATGTGGGCTAGGCAAAACTACGGTGAGGTGGATCTGTAATTGGTTAAATGGACGAACCCAGAGGGTGCTCACCAATGCTTCCTCTTCATCCTGGAAAGAAGTGACGAGCGGAGTGCGCAGGGTTCCGTCCTGGGCCCGGTCCTGTTCAACATCTTTATTAATGACTTAGATGAAGGGCTAGAAGGCAGGATCATCAAGTTTGCAGACGACACCAAATTGGGAGGGATAGCCAGAGGACAGGAGCAGAATTCAAAACGATCTTGACAGATTAGAGAGATGGGCAAAACTAACAAAATGAAGTTCAACAGTGACAAATGCAAGATACTCCACTTTGGCAGGAAAAATGAAATGCAAAGATACAGAATGGGAGATGCCTGGCTCGAGAGCAGTACATGTGAAAAAGATCTTGGAGTCCTCGTGGACAACAAGTTAAACATGAGCCAACAATGTGATGTGGCGGCAAAAAAAGCCAATGGGATTTTGGCCTGCATCAATAGGAGCATAGTGTCTAGATCTAAGGAAGTAATGCTCCCCATGCTCTATTCCGCTTTGGTTAGACCACACCTGGAATATTGTGTCCAATCCTGGGCACCACAATTCAAGAGAGATATTGACAAGCTGGAATGTGTCCAGAGGAGGGCGACTAAAATGATCAAGGGTCTGGAGAACAAGCCCTATGAGGAGCGGCTTAAGGAGCTGGGCATGTTTAGCCTGAAGAAGAGAAGGCTGAGAGGAGATATGATAGCCATGTATAATATGTGAGAGGAAGCCACAGGGAGGGAGGGAGCAAGCTTGTTTTCTGCTTCCTTGGAGACTAGGACGCAGAACAATGGCTTCAAACTACAAGAGAGGAGATTCCATCTGAACATGAGGAAGAACTTCCTGACTGTGAGAGCCGTTCAGCAGTGGAACTCTCTGCCCCGGAGTGTGGTGGAGGCTCCTTCTTTGGAGCTTTTAAACAGAGGCTGGATGGCCATCTGTCAGGGGTGATTTGAATGCAATATTCCTGCTTCTTGGCAGAATGGGGTTGGACTGGATGGCCCATGAGGTCTCTTCCAACTCTTTGATTCTATGATTCTATACTTACACAGGATGAGCTAAGAAATGCAGAACAATAAGGGGAACAATCCACTCAGTGTGAGGTTTATCATAACACAACAACAACAACAACCCCTCATTGTCCGAGTAAGATTGTCCTCCAAGAATGGTGTCTTGGCGGTGGGTACGTAGGTAGCTGTGGAGCCCTATTCTTGACCTGCATGTTCTCAAAACATTGGTTTTGAGGGGTAGGGCGGTCCCGGTCGGGGTTGGCTTGACACGTCTTCCTCTTTGCACGTTTCTCCCCTTCACCCTCCATTTGTGCCTCTTCGAATTCCACAGCACTGCTAGTCACAGCTGACCTCGAGGGCCAGGGCTTCCCAATTCTCAGTGTCTATGCCACACTTTTTAAGGTTGGCTTTGAGGCCATCTTTCAATCTCTTTTCCTGCCCACCAACATTCCGTTTTCCGTTCTTGAGTTCGGAGTAGAGCAACTGCTTTGGGAGACGGTGGTCGGGCATCCGGACAACATGGCCGGTCCAGCGGAGTTGCTGGCGGAGGAGCATCGCTTCAATGCTGGTGGTCTTTGCTTCTTCTTCCAGCATGCTGACGTTTGTCCGCTTGTCTTCCCAAGACATTTGCAGGATTTTCCGGATGCAGTGCTGATGGAATCGTTCCAGGAGTTGCATGTGACGTGTGTAGACAGTCCACGTCTCACAGGCGTAGAGCAGTGTTGGGAGGGGAATAGCTTTTTTCCAAACGGAGCAGAGAGGGTTTGAGTAGGGAGACCAAGGGGCTTGTTTGTAAAGCCATTGTCCTCCCAACCCTGCTCTACGCCTGCGAGACGTGGACTCTCGTTGTCCGAATGCCCAAAGATCTCCAGTGTCTCCCAAAGCAGTGATTCTACTCCCAACTCAAGAATGGACTTTGAGATCTTCCGGGGAGGCCCTGCTCTCGATCCTGCCAGCCTCTCAAGCACGGTTGGCGGGGACGAGAGATAGGGCCTTCTCGGTGGTGGCTCCTCGGCTGTGGAACGCCCTTCCTATAGACATTAGGCTGGCACCATCTCTCATGGCATTCCGTAGAAAGTTGAAGACCTGGATGTTTGTGCAGGCGTTTGAGTAATTTAGTGCAATCTGGTAATTGAACATAGGAATGGAACAATGGACGATGAATTTGGATCATGCTTGGATGTTGGTTTTTTTGATGTTGAACTGCAACCCGGTTTTTGCGCTTTCTTCTTCCACTTTGCTTAGAAGGCTCCTCAGCTCCTCCTCGCTTTTGGCCATCAGAGTGGTATCATCTGCATATCTAAGGTTGTTAATGTTTCTTCCAGCAATTTTCACCCCAGCCTTGCATTCATCAAGCCCCGCACATCGCATGATGTGTTCTGCATACAAGTTAAAAAGGTTGGGTGAGAGGATGCAGCCTTGCCGTACGCCTTTCCCAATCTTGAACCAGTCTGTTGTTCCGTGGTCAGTTCTGACTGTTGCTACTTGGTCCTTGTACAGATTCCTCAGGAGCGAGACAAGGTGGCTTGGGATGCCCATCCCACTAAGAACTTGCCACAATTTATTATGATCCACACAGTCAAAGGCTTTAGAATAGTCAATGAAGCAGAAGTAGATGTTTTTCTGAAACTCCCTGCCTTTCTCCATTCTCCAGCATCCGGATATTGGCAATCTGGTCTCTCGTTCCTCTGCCTTTTCTAAACCCAGCTTGAACATCTGGCAACTCTCGCTCCATGTATTGCTGGAGTCTTCCTTGCAGGATCTTGAGCATTACCTTACTGGCATGAGAAATAAGGGCTACATGTAAGTTGGAGCAGTCTTTCGCATTTCCCTTTTTTGGTATGGGGATATAAGTTGATTTTTTCCGAGTCTGATGGCCATTCTTGTGTTTTCCATATTTGCTGGCAAATGGCATGCATCACCTTGACAGCATCATCTTTTAAGATTTTAAACAGTTCAGCTGGGATCCCGTCGTCTCCTGCTGCCTTGTGATCGGGTATGGTTATTGTAATAATTGTTTATTGTAATTGCTTATTGTTTATTAGTGGATAATGTGTTAAGTCAATTGTTATTGTTGCACTGAATTACTGCTGTTTTTACTGGTTGTGAACCGCTGCGAGTCGCCTTCGGGCTGAGAACAGCGGTATATAAGCAAAGTAAATAAATAAATAAAATAAAAAGTGTAATGGTGGTGGACAGGAAAAGAAATTTAAAGATGGGCTTAAAGCCAACCTTAAAAAACTGTAGAATAGAGACCAAGAACTGGGAAGCCCTGGCTCTTGAGCGCTCTAACTGGAGGTCAGCTGTGACCAGCAGTGCTGCAGAATTCGAAGAGGCACGAATGGAGGGCAAAAGAGAGAAACGTGCCAAGATGAAGCCAACCCCAACGACCACCTTCGGCCTGGAAACCGACGTCCTTGCTGCGGAAGCGGGAACATGCAGGTCAAGAACGGGGCTCCACGGCCACCCACGGAGCCACCACCCTCAAGTCCCTGCACTTGGAGGACCCGCATCCTCGAGCTACGAGGGATCGCCTAAGGAAGGAAGGAAGCGAGCGAGGGAGCTTGGAGCCTCCTCCTCCTCAAGGAGAGAAATGCCTGAGCTTGAAGGAGGGCTTGCCCGTCTCCGCCTGGAAAGGCTGGCCAACTGGGGCCTCCCCCCCCCCGGGTGTTTTGGACTCCAACTCCCAGCATTCCTGGCCTCAGGAAAATGAAAGGGCCTGAGGCCGTGAGGAATGCTGGGAGTTGGAGTCCAAAACCCCTGAAGGGAGGGACTGTCAATCAAAGGCACAGAGCGGCGGGCGGGCGGGCAGCCAATGGGGGCCTCCGGTGGGCGGGGCGTCCCGGCCTCGACCAATGGGGGGGCGAAGGCCGGCTCCGGAAGAGGAAGAGGCGTGGCTTCTTCTCCTTCTCTGCCTTCCCTCAAGCAGAGCCTCTCCCGCCCGCCGCCATCTTGTTCTTTGTGAAGCCGGAAAGCGGCAGCAGCAGCAGCGGGTGAAGCCGACCGAGAGAGAGAGAGAGAGAGAGAAGGCAGGCGGTATGTCTCCCTCGGTCTCCCTTTGGGGGGGGGGGTGGTGGTGAGGGTGGGCCTGGGGCCTGGCTCCACCCGGGAAGAGACGAAGCCTCAGCCCCCCTCCCCCTCATGGAGATGGCTGTCGCCTGACTAGGCCCGGCCTTCCTCCGCCCTTCGAGGCCCACCAGTATGGCACATAACAAAGCCAGAACAAAACCAAGGCAAGCATGGGTCTCTCACCTGGGTCTCTCCTTCCTTCCTTCCTTCCTTCCTTCCTTCCTTCCTTCCTTCCTTCCTTCCTTCCTTCCTTCCTTCCTTCTCTCCCTCCCGAGGACACGAATCCGGGGAGAGGCGGGTGAGCTCCCCCTGTCAGCTCCAGCTCCTCATACGGGGACATGAGACATGAAGCCCCCCACAAGGATTATTTATTGGTCGTGTCAGAGAGTCCAGTCCATTATGTTACATTTCTAACAGAACAAAACAAAACAAGCAGATTACAAAATTTGAGGGTCTGGTAGTTGATTAAATGTCCTTTGACCAGGATCTCGCCCCTTGGAGTGCTCCAAGCGACTTACAATTTAAAATAGCATTTACACAATATAAAAACATTCAACATAAAAACATCCAGCAGTGACCATTTGGTAAATTAGATCCGGTTACTTAAATGCACAGCCAAACAGCCAAGTCTTGAGGTCGCAACTCCGACATTGCTCTAATGCAGGGGTCCTCAAACTAAGGCCCGGGGGCCGGATGCGGCCCTCCTAGGTCATTTTCCCGGCCCTCGCTCAGGGTCAAGCTAAGTCTGAAAGGACTTGAAAGCACACAACAACAACAACAACTGCAACAATCCTATCTCATGAGCCAAAAACAGGCCCACACTTCCCATTGAAATACTAATAAGTTTATATTTGTTGCAATTGTTTTTCATTTTAGTTATTGTATTGTTTTTAAGTGATTTTTGCACTACAAATAAGATATGTGCAGTATGCATAGGAATTCATTTATTTTATTTATTTGCTTTATTTCTATACCGCATTTTTCAGCCCAAACAGGCGACTCAATGCGGTTTACATGGTACAATTCATTCATGTTTTGTTTTGTTTTTCAAATTATAATCCGGCCCTCCAACAGTTTGAGGCACTGTGACCTGGCCCTCTGTTTACAAAGTTTGTGGACCCTGCTCTAATGTATGGAGGCCATGAGTTCCACAGAATTGGAGCGTTGATCGAAAAAGCTCTACGATGCCTTGTAGCTTCCAAATGTGCCTCCCTCCCTCCCTGGGGCCCAGTATGTATAGCAGATTTTCCTGGGTGGATCGAGGTGACCACTGATGGGGAAAAGGAAGGAGGCGGTCCCTAAGATGTCAAGGTCCTTGGCCATTTTGAGCTCTCAGTGTCAGGATCAGGATCTTGGAAGAGATCCGATGTTCTATTGGTAGCCAATGCAGTTGCTGCAGAATCGGTGTCATATGGGATCTTAGAGATGATCCCGCTAGCAGCCTGGCCGCCGCATTTTGGTCCATCCAAATCTTCTGGCTCATGGAGTCAAGGTGAAGCTTCTCCCCTGGCATTAAGTCCAGCCGTGCTCTACTCCGAGACCCAGGCGCTCCTCTCCATTTCTAAGCCAAAGAGCCGGCGTTGTCCGTAGGTGCCCCCAAGGTCATGTGACCACCAAGACTGCACAGAGCACCGTTACCTTCCCGCAGAAATGGTACCTATTGATCTACTCACATGTGCATATTTTTGAACTGCTAGGTTGGCAGGAGCTGGGGCTAACAGCGGGAGTTCATGCCGCTTCCCGGTTTTGAACCTGTGACCTTTCAATCAGCAAGTTATTATTGTTATTATTATTATTATTAACTTTATTTGTACCCCGCTAGCATCTCCCAAAGGACTCGATGCAGCAAATCAAAACAGTTAAGCAATATTAAAATCAATAAGCAATAAAACAATACACCAAGACAGAATAAAACAGGGCCGGGCCAGAGTAATGGGTACAGATTAAAAGTGCTGATGTGACAAGTGATATGTAGGATTATAGGGTAAGTGCAGTGTGCCGGCAATCTTAATTTCTACTAAAGTGCTTCTGGGACTTGGTATCGGAGTTTTCCTATTCTGGAAAGGCACATCGGAACAGCCAGGTCTTCAAGTTCTTCCTAAAGACTGCCAGTGTAGCTACTGCCTAAGAGCACGAGGAATCCATACATCAGTCCACTCTCAGCTGTCATCAGTTCAAAAAGGAGAATGGCTCTTATCTTTATTTACACATGATTTACAGTCCAAAACATACAAACTGTCCTAGTACGCTACCAGCTGAAGGACGGTCAAAACATGGTGATGGTGATGGCATGCCTCATTGTTCTCATTGTCTAATCTCACACAGAACAACCCAGGAAGTTGCATCAAACTTCTGAGCAGGAAATTGACTCCTCTGTCCACATCTCTATGAGTTAACTCATTAACTGCTGGAATCTGAAGTCGGCATAATAATAATAATATAATAAAACTTTATTTACACCCCACTGCCACCACCTATCTCCCCAAGGGACTCGGAGCGGCTTACATGAGGCCAATCCCAACAACACATCAGAAAAACAACAAAGCAATAAACAAAACAATACAATGCAATACAAATTAATATAGATCACATATAACAACAACACACAAGGATTTAGAAACCTATGGCCAGGCCAAATGTAGTTTAAAAATTAAAAAAAAAATAAACACGGGGCATGAGCAAGGTAGGATATATATCTGGTAAGAGGGTTTTAAAGAAGTGAGGGCATGCTTTGCAAAAGCCATTTTTTTTACTACAGCAGATTTTTCCACCAGTTCCTTGAGGTCTGGTGGAGTCCCTTCTCAGGAGGTTGGATGGCCATCTGTCAGGAGGGCTTTTTTCCAAATAATCTTAAGAGACATATCATTTACAAGAATGTTTTTTAAACAAAGAATAAAGATACTTAGGGTACTTGGGGAATGGAGGGGTTAATAAACTTGGGATGCCCTACACTATAAGTGATGAAAAAGGGAAAGGTAAACGCTAGAGTTACTGACAAAATAAGAAAAGAAAGAAGAAAAGGGAGGAAAAGTCAGAGGGAGGGAAAATAGTCCTATCTAAGGTCTGGGCAGGGCTAAGCAAGGGATGTGGGGGTGGGGGAGGGGGGGTTGAAAAGCTCGGCTTCCCGTCTTCTCCGCTGGGGTTGCCTTGTTTGTTCCCCTTCTAATGATATGTTGCTTTCTCCTCTCCCGACTTCTAGAGGACGCTGGTTGTTTCCATTCTCCTTACAAGTCTACTATCAGTTTTGATTTTTCTTGTGTCATATAGTCCTTTATAGGCGACCAATCTGTCGCTTTCTTCTTCCCTTCTTGGTTCCTTCTCATCAATTGTGTTAATAGGCCATGTTCATTATATCCCAAATCTTCAATATCCATTGCTCTTGTGTTGGTATTTCATTTGTTCTCCAGTACCGTGTGGAGTTTATTCTAGCTACCGTCACTAAATAATAAAAAAGTTTTTCTTTGTTCTTCTCCACGTCTCAATGTCCATATCTATCATTCCTAATAAAAAGTGTTCAGGCTTCAATTGTATCTTTCTTGGATGTCTTTCCAATATTTTTTGCTATTTTACAAATCCACCACATGTGGCAGAAAGATCCAATATGTTCTTCACATTTCCAGCACTTGTCCTTCACTTTTGGGTAGGATTTAGCTAATTTCTGAGGTATAATATTCCCACCCATACATCATTTTAAGCCAATTTTTCTTCAGATCGTATGCATACAAGATTTTCATATTCTGGTTCCAGATTTTTCCCCAGTCTTCCAATTTAATTGCTCGACCAGTATTGGCGGCCCATTTAATCAACCAGTCTTTACCTGTTCGGTTTCTGTAGACCAGGAGTCCTCAAACTAAGGCCCGGGGGCCGGATGCGGCCCTCCAAGGTCATTTACTCAGCCCTGGCTCAGGGTAAACCTAAGTCTGAAAGGACTTGAAAGTGCACAACAACAATCCTATCTCATCAGCCAAAAGCAGGACCACGCTTTCCATTGAAATACAAATAAGTTTATATTTGTTAAAATTGTTCTGTCCGCTTCCATGGTGAGAAGACTGTTCTTCCCAGGTTGGGATTTATGCCTTTGATTGCTGCAGACACTTCCCTGCAACCCTGCGTGGAAAGCCAGTCTTTCTCTCGCTCTCGTTGAGCTCCTGAAAATCTTCCCCTGGAGAGAGGGCAAGGAAGCCGAGGGGGAAGGTGGGCCGAGGGGGAAGGGGCCTTCTTGGTGGAGACGCGCCTGTCTTTGCATCCCATCCTGGGGATCTGCTGAGGGACTGAATGGGCCAAAGGGGGCTTTGCTCGGCAGAGACACCTCAACAAGCCTCTGGGAAAGGCAGGAAATTTTGTGGCAACAGGTGCCGAATTTGGGGTGCTCAGGAAGCGGACCCAGACATTGTGGGATGGGAGGCAGCCCAGCAATCTTTGTGTTCCTCAGCATTTAGCACATCCTGGTAATTCACAGAATCCAGAATTAATGACACCTTTTAATGTTGTAAATAACCGTTTCTTTGTCTTGTTGAAGACTTTCATGGCCAGAATCATTGGGATGCTTTCAGTTTTTTGGGCTGAATGGCAATGTTCCAGTAACATTCTCTCCTAATGTTTTGCCTGCATCTGTGGCTGGCATCTTCAGAGGTTCTGTTGTTAGCGAGGAATGTGGAGTGTCTATATACCTGTGGAATGGCCAAGGTGGAAGAAAGAACTCTTGTCTAAGGGATTGGCATTTGAGTAGCCATGAAGTTTGCAAAGTCAATTAATGAGGGTATCTGCCTAGAGGTAGCCTTTGTTGCCTCGAGTCTGCAAATATTCCACAGATATTTATACACTCCACTGGCCTCACCTCCAACAGAACCTCTGAAGATCCCAGCCACAGGTGCAGATGAAATATCAGGAGAGAATACTAATACTACTACGACTAATAATAAACTTTATTTATACCCCACCACCATCTCCCCAAAGGAGACTCAGGGCGGCTTACCTGAGGCAAAGCCTAACAGTACATTACAATAAAATAAAACCAAATCAACAAAATATTTATTTATTATATCAGCAACCAGACAATTGTATTACATTTTAAACAATTTTTTAACAAACAGACAAAACAGAGTTTGCAAGCTTCATAGTTGATTAAATGTTCCTTGACCAGTCTCTGGCCCCTTGGAGTGCCTCTGGTGTTGCCACAAGAAGGTCCTCCATTGTGCATCGTGTGGCAGGGCTCAGGGTGCATTGCAGCAGGTGGTCTGTGGTTTGCTCCTCTCCACATTCGCATGTCAAGGATTCCACTTTGTAGCCCCATTTCTTGAGGTTGGCTCTGCATCTCGTGGTGCCAGAGCACAGTCTGTTCCAAGTCGCCCCGTCTTCTTCTGTGTGCCCAGGGGGGAATCTCTCATTTGGTATCGGCCATTGATTGAGGTTCTGGGTTTGAGCCTGCCACTTTTGGACTCTTGCTTGTTGAGGTGTTCCAGCGAGTGTCTCTGTAGATCTTAGAAAACGTTTTCTTGATTTAAGTCATTGATGTGCTGGCTGATATCCAAACAGGGGATGAGCTGGAGATGTCTCTGCCTTGGTCCTTTCACTATTAGCTGCTACTCCCCGGCAGATGTCAGGTGGTGCAATACCGGCTAGACTGTAGTTTCTCCAGTGGTGTAGGGCGCAAGACACCCCATGATAATGCGGCATGTCTCATTAAGAGCCACATCCACTGTTTTAGCGTAATGAGATGTGTTCCACACCGGGCATGCATACTCAGCAGCAGAATAGCACAGCGCAAGGGCAGATGTCTTCACTCTGTCTGTTTGTGATCCCCAGGTTGTGCCAGTCAGCTTTTGTATGATATTGTTTCTAGCACCCACTTTTTGCTTGATGTTCAGGCAGTGCTTCTTGCAGGTAAGAGCATGGTCCAGAGTGACTCCCAGGTATTTGGGTGTGCTGCAATGCTCCAGTGGGATTCCTTCCCAGGTGATCCTCAGAGCTCGGGATGCTTCTCTGTTCTTGAGATGAAAGGCACATGTCTGTGTTTTAGATGGGTTGGGGATCAGCTGGTTTTTCCTATTATAGGCAGTAAGAGGACCTAGAGCTTCGGAGAGCTTCTGTTCAATCATCTCAAAACTACCTGCTTGAGCAGTAATGGCACGATCATCAGCATAGATGAAGCTCTCCGTCCCTTCTGGCAATGGCTCGCCATTTGTGTAAATGTTGAACATGGATGGAGTAAGTACGCTCCCCTGAGGCAGGCCGTTCTTCTGTTTCCGCCATCTGCTTCTCTGGCCCTGGAACTCAAGAAAAAAGCTCCTGTTTTGTAGCAGGTTTCCTATGAGGTGGGTGAGGTGGTCGTCCTTTGCGATATTAAACATTTTTCTCAGGAGGAGGCGGTGGTTCACAGTATCATAAGTCGCTGACAGGTCTATGAAGACAGCTCCTGTGATCTGGGGAGGCCCTTCTCTCGATCCCGCCTGCCTCACAGGCACGCCTGGTGGGGATGAGGGGTAGGGCCTTCTCGGTGGTGGCCCCCCGGCTGTGGAACACCCTCCCTGCAGACATCAGACAGGCGCCCTCCCTTATGACATTCCGCAAGAAACTAAAGACGTGGTTGTTTGAGAAGGCGTTTGACTAAGTGCTACAACAATTGGCAATGACGATTGGAACGGAACATGGATAACGAGATCGGATTGTGATTCTATGATGAGACGTCGCGAATGATTTAGTGTAATTGTATTATTGACAGTGATGTTGTTATTGTTGCTTGTGTTATTGCTTATATTTATTTATTTATTTATTTATTTGCTATACTTGTATACCGCCGTTTCTCAGCCTAACCGGCGACTCAACGCGGTTTGCAACAATTGTAAGTTGTTTTTATATGTTGTACACCGCTGTGAGTCGCCCTAGGGCTGAGAACGGTGGTCTACAAATGCAGTAATAAATAAAGAAAGAAATAAAATCTGCTGCCTTTCAAAGCCATCTTCTATGTGCTGAGTCAGGTTCAGCTCTTGTGATGTGCAGCTTTTGCCTTTTCTGAAGCCTGTAGTTCTATGCAAAATAAGTATCTTCAGAACTTTGTAGAGGTGACACAGCAGGGAGATTGGTCTATAGCTTTTTGGGTCATTACAGTCTTTGCCTGGCTTCAATATGGCGATGACTCTTGCTTTCCTCCAGATTTTGGGGATCTGACAGGATGCAGTGCAGTTGTTCATCAGCTCCAGCAGCCAGCGCCTTGCTTTTGGGCCAAAGTTCTTGATTTGTTCCATCCGTAGATCATCCAAGCCAGCTGCTTTGCCATTTTTACATTTGTTGAGAGCCATGTCCAATTCAGTAGATGTAAAGGGTTCATGGAGGTTGTTGTTCTCAATCTCTGGTTGTCTGGCTATTGGTTTCTTTCCTACTTTGGTGGCAAGGTTGGGTTTCCCGTTCTTCAAGAGTTGGTGTGCTGTCTGATCTGCCTTTATGTTGGCATGGGTATGAGTTTGTGAGGGGTCGTTGCTCAGCCGTCTCAGCAGCTTCCACGCCTTCTGGCTGCTCCTGCCCATGTCGACTTCTGTGGTCAGCTTGATCCACTGGATCAAGCTGGATCAACAACAAAATGCAGCAATACAATTAAATCAATGAAAACATAAGAATATAACATAAGAATAAAACAGCACAAACTAAATACAATGTAAAATCAATCCCAAGGGCGGGCCAGATGTGTAAGTTAAAATAATAAAACTCAGGATGAGATTGAGATGAAAAAGAAGTAGACGGAAGAGTGGAGACAGGCCTTCTGCTACTGGAACGTGGCTATACAGCTGGAAAAACTCACCGCAACCCCATTGTTCCTTCCTGCCTGCCCGCCTTCCATTCCTTTAGCCACTTTTGGGATTGACCCAATGAAATCTATGTGACGTTTCAATATTGGAAGCAGTTCCCCTTTCTTTTTCTTCTGTCATTCATTCTTCTCACTCCCCCTCCCTCCCTTCTTTTCTTCCTTCTCTCTGGATTCATTCCCTTTTTTGAGAATCAGAGAATGATTTTTATGTATGTGCTTGAGACCTGATGCCTACATTACTTGGTATTCCCATTTTCAACATGGCCCATGAATGATAAGTGGGGCGGGGGGGGGGGGGGGGGGGGGGGGGGGGGCTTGGAGGTAAATAAGGTTTCTGGCTTTCATTCTTAATCCTTTGCTTCTTTTTTTACCAGGGAAATAAGGATTTTGTGGAGCAACCTCTTGGATACAGTAAGGAAACCAATAGTATAGAAAGACATAATCCTCTCAAGGTGATATTCTTACCGAAATCTTGACCTTACTTCCAGATAAGAAATTTAAGAAGAAGAGTCAAATATCTGTTTTGTAATTAAACACCCATATCACTCTTGACATGAAGGATAAAACATCACAATGCCTGGAGTGTGGAAAGAGCTTCACTAGCAGGAGAGGTTTACATTTACATCAAACAACTCACACTGGGGAGAAACCCTATACATGCCTGGAGTGTGGAAAGAGGTTCTCTCATCCTTCAGGTTTACGATCGCATCACAGGACTCACACTGGGGAGAAACCCTATACGTGCCTGGAGTGTGGACGGAGCTTCGCTGAGATTGGACATCTACGTTCACATCAAAGGATTCATACTGGGGAGAAACCTTTTGAATGCCAGGAGTGTGGACGGAGCTTCACTCAGAGGGCACACCTAAATTCACATCAAAGGACTCACACTGGGGAGAAACCCTATAAATGCCTGGAGTGTGGGAAGAGCTTCACTCACCATTCAAATTTATATTCACATCAAAGGATTCACACTGGGGAGAAACCCTATAAATGCCTGGAGTGTGGACAGAGCTTCACCGACGGTTCAGGTCTATGGTCACATCAAAAGATTCATAGTGGGGAGAAACCCTATAAATGCCTGGAATGTGGAAAGAGCTTCATTAATAATTCAGGTTTACGTAAGCATCAAAGGACTCATGCTGGGGAGAAACCCTATACATGCCTGGAATGTGGAAAGAGCTTCGTTGATAATTCAAGTTTACGTCTGCATCAAAGGACTCACACTGGGGAGAAACCCTATAAATGCCTGGAGTGTGGACAGAGCTTTGCTAAAAATGCAGGTCTGCGTTATCATCAGTGGACTCACACTGGAGTGAAACCCTATACATGCCTGGAGTGTGGACAGAGCTTCACTGATCATACAGGTATACGTAGACATCAAAGAATTCACACTGGGGTGAAACCTTATACATGCCTCGAGTGTGAAAAGAGCTTCACTCGTAATTCAATTTTACGTTCGCATCAAAGGACTCACACTGGGGAGAAACCCTATACATGCCTCGAGTGTGGACGGAGCTTCTCTCTTATTGGAAATCTACGTTTACATCAAAGGACTCATACTGGGGAGAAACCCTACACATGCCTCGAGTGTGGACGGAGCTTCTCTTTTATTGGAAAGCTACGTTTACATCAAAGAACTCACACTGGGGAGAAACCCTATAAATGCCTGGAGTGTGGACAGACCTTTACTCTGAGGGGACATCTAAAGTCACATCAAAGGACTCACACTGGAGAGAAACCCTATAAGTGCCTGGAGTGTGGACAGAACTTCAAATACAGTTCATCTCTGCACTTGCATCAAAGGATTCATACTGGCGAGAAACCCTATAAATGCCTGGAGTGTGGAAATAGCTTTGCTCAGAGTGGAGTTCTACGTAGGCATCAAAGGACTCACTCTGGGGAGAAACCTTATAAATGCATGGAGTGTGGACAGAGCTTTGCTCAGAGTGGAGTTCTACTTAAGCATCATCAGCGGACTCATGCTGGGGAGACACCCTATAAATGCCTGGAGTGCAATCAGAGCTTCACTTGTTGTTCAAGTCTGAATAGTCATCGAAGGACTCACACTGGGTAGAAACCTTATACATGCCTTGAGTGTGGAAAGAGCTTCATTCACAGTAGAAATCTACATAAACATCAACATGGAGGGGAACACTGAGTAGAAACTCTATAAACACACGGCGTGCGGAAAGAGCTTCTCTGAGAGATCAAATATACATAGAATTTACATTGGAGAGAACCGTAGTATTTAACCCCATAGGGACTCTCCAAGACAGAGCTTTCCAGACGTCTCATGTTGGCAACACTCTTTTTAGGCTTGCAGCCTTTTGTGGCACAATAATTCAGTTTAACTAGCAAAACGGAGGTTAAAACAAGCCCTTATAGCATTTTCAGTATATATATTATAATATCATAATATAGGTAAGTTTCATTTAGCCTTTACTGTATAAGCTATTCTTGTGTCATTTCCTCTGTAGCTCCTCATGGTGGTCATGACAAACATTGTTCTCTACAATGGCTCCCAGTATTAAAAAACTCTAAAATTACAACAGCAAAACAGCAGAGAGGAAACAACCAAGCACAGCTTAACACCTCTCAACAAAAGATTTTCCCAGGCTCAGCCAGGCCTTCAAATGCTAATGAAGGTGGTCAGTTGAAACATTCCCACCTAGCTTCAGCAGAGAAGAGCTCTTGGCCCCACCCCAGTCATTCCACAGATATATAAACCCATTGCCCCAGTTCCAAGAGACCTTACTACCTCTGAGGATGCTTGCCATAGATGCAGGAGAAACGTCAGGAGAAATGCCTCTAGAACATGGCCATATAGCCTGAAAAAACCCACAAGAACCTATTGATTCCAGCCGTGAAAGCCTTCGACAATACATTGTTCTCTACAGATTTTATTTTCTCAATTAGAAAGTTATCCATTTTAGTGGTAACTAGCCATGCTCTGCCACACGTTGCTGTGGCCCAGTCTAGTGCTTCTGATGTTATCCTCTATTACAATGTCCTTTTTCCTCTATTACAACCTGGGGGTTGGGACCCCTGGGGAGGTCATGAGGGGGTGTCAGAAGGGTTACTAAAGACAACAGTATTTTCTGTTGGTCATGGGGGTTCTGTGTGGGAAGTGTGGCCCAATTGTATCACTGCTGGGGTTCAAAATGCTCTGATTGCAGGTGAACTATAAATCCCAGTAACTACAACTCCCAAATGTTAAGGTGTATTCCCCCCCCCCCAACGCCATCTGTGAACTACAACTCCAAAACTCAAGGTCAATGCCCACCAAACCCTTCCAGTATTTTCTGTTGGTCTTGGGAGTTCTGTGCACCAAGTTTGGTTCAATTCCATTGTTGGTGGAGTTCAGAATGCTCTTTGATTATAGATGAACTATAAATCCCAACAACTACAACTCCCAAATGACAAAATCATAATTTTTGAGTGATGGTCACTCCTTGTGTTGTGAGACATTTTGTTGCCAAATTTGGTGTGATTTCGTTTATTGGTTCTTTTGTTTTTAAGGTACTCATGATGCACAGAGCATTTTTATATATATAGATTACCTCAATTCATTCAACACTTGGTGCATTTAATGAACGTTGTAACAGTCCTTACGCTTGAATGCGCCAGCACTCCACTTCTGCAGGGATGGGTGTTTTTCTTCAGGGGCTGGACGGCCTTCCTGACTGGCCGAAGGGGGCCGCGCTAGATTTCCTTCATATACTCTAGAGGTGCCACCAATGTATGTTGGCAACACATCAAGAGAAAGTGTTAGTAAAATATGGCCCTACAGCCTGAAAAACTCACAACAGTCCATTGATTCGAGCGATGAAAGCCTTCCACAATATGTTGTTAATACATTTATTTATTTGTCGTGTCAGAACAACCAGTCAAATTACATTACATTTCTAACAGAACAAAGCAAACAAGCAGATTACAAAATTTGTGAGTATGGTAGTTGATTAAATGTCCTTTGACCAGTATCTGGCCACTTGGAGTGCCTCTGGCGTGGCTGCAAGAAGATCCTAATTAATTAATTAAGGTATTAATACATTAATAATGGAAGATGAAAGAGAGACGAGAAATAGAGGGAAGGCTCCAATTACGTGGAAATGTATAAGTGTTGTGATTTAATAAATGCCAAAAATAATCTTGCCTAACGGTGACTTAGAAGACGCTAGTTCAAAGAGAAGGGAGTGAAGGTGCCATGAAAACGCACATTTCTGATCATATTTGATATTTCTTGTAATCTACCCATCTTATTATTGCCTGTATCGAGAGCTTGATTCAAAATGCAAAGCCATAGATTCATTTCTAGTCTACAGTATTCCCTTTCCTCTTTGGAATCATAGGATCATAGAGTTGGAAGAGACCTTGTGGGCTATCCAGTCCTCTTCCTGCCAGGAAGCAGGAATATTGCATTCAAAGCACCCCTGACAGATGGCCACCCAGCGTCTGCTTAAAAGCCTCCAGAGAAAGCGCTTCCACCACACTCCCTCCGGGGCAGAGAGAGAAAGAGTTCCACTGCTGAACAACCCTTCTCACAGTCAGGAAGTTCTTCCTAATGTTCAGGTGGAATCTCCTTTCTTGTCGTTTGAAGCCATTGTGTCCCAGTCTCCAGGGAAACAGGAAGGAAGCACCCTCCCTGTGACTTCCCCTCACATATTTATACATGGCTCTCATCATGTCTCCTCTCAGCCTTCTCTTCTTCAGGCTAAACATGCCCAGCTCCTTAAGCCGCTCCTCATAGGGCTTGTTCTCCAGACCCTTGATCATTGTAGTTGCCCTCCTCTGGACACATTCCAGCTTGTCCACATCTCCCTTCGATTGTGGTGCCCAGAACTAGACACAATATTCCAGGTAAAGTGGTCTAACCAAAGCGGAATAGAGCATGGGGAGCAGGACTTCCCTGGATCTAGACACTAGGCTCCTCTTGATGCCTGAGGACAAAATTCCATTGGCTTTTTTAGCCGCTGCATCACATTGTTGGCTCATGTTTAACTTGTTCTCCACAAGGATTCTTTCACACGTACTGCTCTCGAGCCAGGCATTGTCCCCCATTCTGTACCTTTGCATTTCAATTTTTTCTGCCGTCTGTCGGTGGTGCTTTGAATGCAATATTCCTGCTTCTTGGCAGAATGGGGTTGGACTGGATGGCCCATGAGGTCTCTTCCAACTCTAGGATTCCAAGTGGAGTATCTTGCCTTTGTCCCCATGGAGCTTCATTTTGTTAGTTTTGGCCCATCATCTTTCTAATCTGTCAAGATCCCTTTGAGTCCTGTCTTCTGGAGTCTTGGCTCTCCCTCCCAATTTGGTGTCGTCTGCAAACTTGATGATCCTGCCTTCTAGCCCTTCATCTAAGTCGTTAGTAAAGATCCTGAGCAGGACCGGGCCCAGGATGGAGCCCTGCTGATGGCACTCCAGGATGAAGAGGAGGAAGCCTTGGGGAGAATCGCCCTCTGGGTTCATCCGCTTAACCAATTACAGATCCACCTCACCGTAGTTTTGCCTAGCCCACATTGGACTAGTTTCCTTGTCAGAAGGTCTTGGGGTCCTTGTCGAAGGCCTGAAATCCAAGTACGCTACATCCACGGCATTCCCTGTATCTACCCAGCTTGTAACCTACTGAAAAAAGAGACCAGATGAGTCTGGCATGACTTGTTTTTGAGAAATCCAGGTTGACTATTAGTGATGACCGCATTTGTTTCTAAGTGTTTGCAGACCACTTCCTTGACAATCTTTTCCAGAATCTTGCCCGGTATCGACGTGAGGCTGACTGGACATTGGTCATTGTTTGGGTCGTCCTTTTTTCCCTTCTTGAAGATAGATAAGGACCACATTGGCTCTCCTCCAGTCTGCTGGGACTTCTCCCATTCTCCAGGAACTCCCAAAGATGATTGCCAGAGGACTTGGATGTGTTTAGAGCGGCCAGGTATTCCTGGGTGACTTGCTTCCCTACTTGGGGTTGGATGTCCTCTTTTCCTTCGTCCATTCCATGTTGCTGAGGTTGGAGATGACTTTCTTTTTGTGGAATCTATGAACAGCTTAAATGATCTGTAGAATTTTCTTTTTAGGCTATTAATAATCAGAGAAAAGATTTAAAATAAATAATCGTGTCAAGAACAACCAAAACCAACCTTCAATAAAGAAGAGCTGGAAGAGAAAAGAAGAAGAGACATGACAATATTGGAAGGAACAAGAAAGTACACCTCAGAGATTTAAAATTAGATGTGTTCTAGAGGATCTATAGAATCTCCAATACCTTGTGTAATGTGTGTCAATGGAATAGAGATGTCGATTGAGTTGTCATAACGATAATTTTGCATAACTTCCCCCCCCCACTCCATCCCCACAAACCTCATGTTTTGTTTTGTCTTTCTTTTGTCCTTTCTTTGCAACTTAAACTTTCTTTGCAACTTAAAAGCTTAACGAAATAAGAACAACCTTATCCTGTATCTCTATGACACCCCTTTCCCCGCCTTTCCCCAATTTCCTCCGTGTGAAATTCTTTTATTTTTATTTGTAAATTCTTAATAAAATATTTACCACCCAAAAAAGGTTGCATTTACAATGGGGCCAGAGTTGTGTCCCATAGGAAGGCTGGACAGTCATCTAGAAACAAAATTTGGAAGAAGCCTAGAACAGATGGTCAACACCGCAAGCCTAGTTTATTCTCAGAGAGAGGAGGAAGTCATTGCCCCGCTCAAGAGGAATGGCTGAAGAAGATCTGCAAATGAGCAGAAATGGACAACGGGAAAATTAGACCCCCGGACACAAGCAGAACGGAATAGACGTGTCACCAGTAAGGAAACTGAAGAGGTTGTTAATAATCTTAAACCAGGCTCCTCCCCCGGACCTGATGGTTTTATGTCTAAGTTTTACAAAATCTTTCATTCAGAAATCATCCCTCAATTAGAAATTTTATTCAATGAGATATTAAAAAAAAAAACCATCCCGGAAACATGGAAGAAATCTGAAATGATTACAATTTTAAAACCCGGTAAAGATGAGACCAACCCAAACTCCTAAAGGCCAATTACCTTGTGTAATGTAGATTATAAAGTCTTCACAAAACTTTTTGCACACAGGTTGACAGATATAATCCCAAATGTAATAGGGAAAGACCAAGATGGCTTTATCAAAAACAAGATTAGTAGACCTCACTACCTCTGAGGATGCTTGCAATAGATGGAGGCAAAACCTAGAGCTTCGGAGAG